TATATATATATATATATATATATATATATATATATACGCACACACACACACACACAACACACACACACACGTATATATATATATATATATACTCAAGCGACGGAGAAATAGCCTACTGAGCAACTGTCAAGACGGCCGAAACAATGAACCATATATATACACATACACATCATCGGTTTTAACCCGCTCGATATCGGTCCGCCGGACAAAGTCACTCACAGATACACGCACGAAGTCCACACCTCACATACTTCCAATAGCTACATTACACATAAACTTACCGAGCGTTCGATCTTCTCGAAAAAAAATTAAACAATCTCTTTTTTGATAGGGTCGATATATCCTTCTTCTCGATGAGTCGTCTGGTGCCTCCAATGTCGCGGGCAACAAGCTTTGTCAAGGGCACATAGTCGTCCGCACCTGTTCCAAACGCATTTGGTCTCTTGTTCGTCTTCGATGTGCGCCTCCGTTCGACACGGACCGTCGCTACAAGGAAAGAAGGATGACAAGTATAGCCAGCTTTAGGTACATGGGAATGGTGGGTAATGTAACAGAAATTCGGACTCTCAGCCACAAATGAGGTTCAGTATGAGCCTGGAAATTGATCTATATCAGGATGCCGACCCAGACCACTGTATCTACAGGCGGTCTTATACTGCAGCATAGGGGCTGCAACTTAGAGCGAAACACCACAAACCTGTGAGAAGTATTGCAATAATATAGACTATAGTGCTACATTATAGATCTAGCACTCGAGCGCAACTATCACACCCTAACCGCGACAGAAGCAAGACACAATGGCGGACACGCATATACATCCCTCGCAGTGAACTACAACGACGTTGCTCTGCACCGTACATACCAGCAACGCGAGAGGCGACGCCCGTCGTATCCTCACTCTCACTCCCACTACCAGTCCCAACCCAACTCGCACTGTTCTCTGCTTCTGATTTCGATTGGTCGGGGTCTGACTGGCCAGGGTGCGACGTACTCTTCGCACGCCTAGACGGCTGGGCTCTTGGCCTCTTCCTCCCAATCGCTAGCTCCTGAGTTTCACTGCCTCTGTCCTCTGCCTCAGAGCTTGACTGGTCAGAGTGTGATAAGTTTGACTTGCTACTAGAGGACCGCGTTCTTCTTCGATGGCAACCCATATTCTTGCGAATGTCATTCCCACTGTCCTCTGCCGCAGAGCCTGACTGGCCAGGGGCGGTCAAATTCTTTGTCCTGCTCGTACGTTCAGTTCGGCGTCTTTTCCTCCCAATCTCTTGCACGCTGGGATCACTTCTACTTTCTTCTGCTTGTGAGTCCGACTGGTCAGCGGTTGCCAATTTTGGTTTGTTGCTAGAGGATCGCGTTCGACGTCTTTGCATACCCGATTCCTTGCGATTATCATCCGCACTTTTAACCACTTTTACATCTGACTGGGCAGAGTTTGAAATGTTTCGCGTTCTCCGTCTTAGGACCCCCTTTCCCTTGTGCTTATCATCCCCATTTTCGTCTGTTTCTGAATCTGATCGGCCAGAATTTGAAATGTTTGGCCTACTGCTAGTGGATCGCGTTCGACGTCTTTGCATCCCCTTTTCTTTGCGGCTATCATCCATACTTTCTTCTGCTTCTAAATCTGATTGGCCAGAATTTAAAATGATTGACTTGCTACTAGAGGATCGCGTTCGCCAAATTTGCATCCCCTTTTCCTTGCGGCTATCATCCGCACTTTCCTCTGCTTCTAAATCTGATTGGCCAGAATTTAAAACGTTTGACTTACTACTAGAGGGTCGCGTTCGCCGTCTTTGCATCCCTTTTCCTTGCGGCTATCATCCGCACTTTCCTCTGCTTCTAAATCTGATTGGCCAGAATTTAAAACGTTTGACTTGTTACTGGAGGATCGCGTTCTCCGTCTTTGCATCCCCTTTACCTTGCGGCTATCATCCGCACTTTCCTCTGCTTCTAAATCTGATTGGCCAGAGTTTGAAATGTTCGACATACTGCTAGAGGATCGCGTTCGCCGTCGTTTCATCCCCTTTTCCTTGGTATTGTCATTCCCACTTTTATCTGCTTCTAAATCTGACTGGCCAGATTTTGAGGTGTTCGACTTAATATTGAAGGATCGAATTCTTCGTCTTTGGCTTTCCGTTTCTTTACGAAGACCATCCCCACTGTCGTCTGCTTGTGAGTCTGATTGGCCAGAGTGGGGCGTATTTGGCTTGTTACCAGAGCTTCGCGTTCTCCGCCTTTGCACCCCCCTTTTCTTGCGCCAACCATCCCCACTGTCTTCTGCCTCTGAGTCTGACCGACTCGAGTGTGATTTGTATCTTTTGGTCTTAGCAGGCCGAGTTTTGCGTCTTTTTCTCTTATACGGTAATCCGCGAGAATCACCCTCGCTGTCCTCTACCTCCGAATCTACTTGGGCCACATTCCACCTGTCTCTCGTAACCCTAACCGGCTGGGGCATGGTCCGGTTTCTCTTGCTTTGTTTTCCAAGGTGATCACTTTCATTGTCCTCTTCGTCCGAATCGGACTGGCCTTCATTTGACTTGCTAGTATCAGCCCTAGCAGGCTGGATTCTTTGTTGCTCCTGTGTACCCGCTACTTTTGATGAATTATTCCCTTTATCCGCTGACTCCAAGTTTGCCTGGTTCGATTGTAACTGACTGTCTGCAGCCTTGACAGTTGGGTATCTGCGAAACCTCTCCCTGACAGGTTTCTCGGGAGATTTTTTCTCACTCTGCTCTACCTCTGCGTTTGGCCGGATTCCCTGAGTCATAGAAGAAACGGGTGGCTGCCCACTAGTTCCCCTGTGCTCTGATTCCGAGTCTGATTGGCTAGAGTCCGACATACTCCCCAGTTTACTGAGCAAGCGGGGTTTGCGTTTGTACCCCTTTCGCTTCTTAAACGGACTCGATCTGGCCTGTTGTCCACGGTTTTTCTGAAGGTTGGCAGCTTCGGTTGCGAGCTCGCCAAACTTCTCGGAGAGGATGTCCATGCTGGAGGTGTATGCGTCAGGGAACATTTGACTGCCCAGGAAGCGCAGATACTCGTGTTGCACCTTAAGACTCGCCAATTCGTTTCTGTGTGTAGTAGATGCAATACAATGATTGTTATGTGTATCTGACATTTTACGTATAGATGTTTTCACAGATGGATATGTGTTCGTTTTGTATCCAATGAGATAGGTGACTGGTACGTGAGTATGAGACAAGAGGTTGAGCAGCACACTGATATTCTGACTTGCCGAATTGCGCGTGTAATGACAGCATACGTGTACACCTTCTTGAGTGCGTACATACTGCAATATGTGTCTGTAGATGAGAGAGCCATATTCAATTCGTCGCATTCAGCCTCGTGCAACCGTGTGAAAGTAGGTGTGAGAGCTTCACACCTACATTGGATGGTTTCCGCATTTCAACGAATTCGAACTAAAACTACATCTACGTATCTGCCTCGCTAATATTTTATTGGCTCAAAGATGATTATCAATGGATATAATCTATTCCTGATCTATACCTGCCAGGTACACCCTGTCCCAGTATTGCCGAAACGAAGGTACTTGTCCGAACATCAATCAAGAAGCGTGATACAGCACAGTATGAATTCTAGCGATAACGCCGGGTTGCGAGGAACCACTACACATGAATTACCGTGAATGCGTACTGTACTATGTGTTATGCAAAGTGCTTCAAATGGGTGGGGACTGTGTGGGATGCGAGTGTGTTGTGGCGAATGTTTGCAAATGCCATAAGACTTTTACACTGTGGTACCACCCTTCCACCCGGCCCTCAGTTGCGACGTTGTGGTTCCCGATTGAATCGGTTTAAATGTACACTCGGACACGATGTACACAATCAAATTCATCTATACAAAGAAAGATAAACAACTCCAGCAACCTTATATGTATATAAGTATATAGACACATTCATATAATCACACATGAAATCTGTGGTATTCATGTCCACATTCATGCACAACATACCTTGTCTGGGGAATAGATGTCTGCTTTGCCTTCTGCTGTGCATTCATAGCGCCCATCCAGTTCCTCCACGACCACGGTTCCGTACGCCCACTGGCAACTGTTTCTTTAGCTCTGCAGATAAAATCGTCCAATCCCTTCAGCTTTAATCCGTCATTCTCGGCGTTTTGATCGGTAGTTTCATGATTATCTGCAATTCGATTGGCCGACCCTTGCGATGTGATACCTCCGTCTTTAACGTGCTCGTCGAATTCCCCAATACCGTACACCAATTTCAGTGTAATGCACACAAAAGCCGCCACAATAGTACGTGTGGGATTGGATCGGCCACCCCACCTCCGATGACCCATCGTTATTTGATTAGTCTGTGACTCGGGTATGGTGTATCTGCCCAATGCACGCTTTCTAACCGTAAACCCTTGATAGAAGAGCGACAAGATACGTATCGGGATCGGCGTGAGTGTCTGTAGAGTGTATGTGTGCATAGCTAGCCCCGGCGGCAGTCGAAGATCACGAACCATCCTGAGAAGACGAGAGTTGTGTGTATTGAATTAGGGTTATTGCAATCTCGGGTGTCAGGGTGTGTGCCTGATAAACGCGGGTGAGCGTGATGCGTACATGGAACTCGACCAACGCTTGCTGGAAACGTTTAAAAAAAAAGGTCAGAAAGACAATTTGCAATGCGGCACCAAGAACATCATACTTCGCAAACAGGCCCTGGGTGTTGAAGAAGGGGAAGGGGAAGCGCGAGACGCCATGGTATATGTTGTTGAGTATTACTGTGCACCTGTAATACACTTCGTCTGAACTGGGTATCTTGCGCGGCCGTAGCTTTCTGGACGTGGGATAGTCGTCCAATTTCTTGTATTCCGGGTGCATCCGGTAGGCCGCGAAGTAGGGCAAGGTGCCCAACCGCACCATATCTGTATGCGTTTATATATGGGTGCATGTAATAAACAGCAATGTGTGTATAATGTTTTATTTTTCAGAGTTCTGGTTGCCAAAATCTCATAGCTACTACAGCCACCTGCCGTGCAAGAGTATAGGCTACTATTGGTTTTGGTTAGCTGTACGTGAGCTTAAATCACTTGACTGCACCAAATTGCCATTCCAGTTTAAATAACGATCGAAATCTAATTGGCAAGCTACATCACTGGAGCGCGATAGAAACTGGCTACTTAGGAATTGTGGCACCTAGAGAGATTTGTCAAGAGGTGAACAACCTTTGTGTAACATATACTACATGTTCTACACACACACACACACATACATATATACACATACACACACA